ATCTTACATCATAAACCACACCTCTTTTCCTGGTCCATCGACCAATCAAAAGCTCTCAAATGAACCGGAAGTCGACCCATTTAAAATGTGGCAACTTCCCAGTTCATGTTAGAATTCAGTAGAATTCCAGAGAATTCCAGAAGCTGGAGAGCCTGAGGAGATGAAGAACTACAGAGTTGCTGGAGTTGAAAGATTCTGTTAGAGTCTGAGAAGTTCTGAAGAATGAAAGGAGTTCAGAGTTCTTGGGTGCAAACGCGTTCAGGATGATCCAGAGACGTTTTGGGATTATAACTTCTGTTTGAACAAACCACACACGACTATCTAAGGATTTCAGCTGCTCTCAACGGAGACGCTGAAAAGTCTGGAGGATTCTCTATCGAGCTGATTTACGTCAACCAGGTAACAGTCTCCTCTTCGAATAAAGTGTACCGGAGGCAAGCTGAGATCTGATGAAGCGTGCACGTTCTGGTCAAACAGATTAATTCCCTCACATATCTCTCTGTAAGATAACTCCATTTCATCTTAAAACTCTCCTCTTTCTCATAAAATCAGTACAGATATTTTAGAAATATCTGAAGCAAAGTCCTCGTTCACCGCCGAGTGATCGATGTCCCTTTTCTGTGAAACTTGTCTGTTATTATTTTCATATTTTGCCAAATTAATGTAAATGTTTGATGTTAAACTTTGATTCTGAAAATAAATGGCCGCATTCACTTTGATGGGTCAAAGATAAATAACGTCTCTCGTTACATTTCTGTTAAACTCAATGCACGACATTACACAGTCAGAAAGATGAGGAACTCGTGAATATTGTATGCATATATATCTCATATATTGTCATACTACACCAGAGACGGGGCTGCAGCTGGAGAACCAGAGACCAGAGACGGAGCTGCAGCTGGAGAACCAGGAACCCGAGACAAAGCTGCAGCTGGAGAACCAGAGACCAGAGACGGGGCTGCAGCAGCAGGTGGTGGAGGAGCCATGAACCCCTCCCTTCGCAAAACTCTCCCCTTCTTGCGCTGGGTTCGGGGAGGACCAGCAGTTTGCCCCTCTCTCTCCGATGATTGCTTGGCCCCACCAGGTGGAGAGCGAGGAGGAGGTGGGCAGCGGGGTGCAGTGGCGCGGTGAGGTGGAGAGGGACGGAGAGGCTGTGAGGACCCAGGTTTAATGGCCAGGCGGGTCCCCCAAAATGGATTCCTCCTCTCCT